AGAGTAATTTGAGTTAACGAGCTCCTTAACAAGCTCGGTCTCGGAACGAATTCAACTCGTAAGTCAAGGCCCCACTGTATATAGGGTAGGGTCCCTAGGCCTGGCTGGCAATCAGGGCCAATCTGTGGGGCAACCGGTGGATGGGGTGATCGCCGTGCCCCCCTTGCCCCCTCCTTTGGCTGGCGGCCTGGCACCGCCCACTGGCCACCCCTGCCCAATCGCCACCGCTGATAGCCTCCCCCTGGTGGTCAGTGTGCATCATAGCAACCGGTCGATTTGCATATTAGGGTTTTATTATATAGGATATAATTATATATATAATATATATTCATGTTAAATGTGGAAGAAGCTTCTGTAGAGCTGATACATATTTAATTATTTTAACAAGTTGCAACAGATTTCATAAAACTATTCAAGCCCAAGACTGCCAACTTTGTTCTTGTGGGAACTATACAACTCCAGGGGACAACATTCACATAAATCATGATGTCAATGCCACCCTCTGAAATTTTGCAATGAGGCAGCCCTATCTAGGCCCCCTGTTTCATTAATAAAAACACACACACACACACACACCAAGGATTAGATGATTTTCCTCTTGTCCTAGAGAAAAATCAGGAATAGGATCCAGATTTTTGAGACCTTTGTTTTTGTTAGTTTTTAAAAAATATATATTTTTATTGATCTTAGAGAGGAAGGGAGAGGGGGAGAGAGAGATAGAAACATCAATGATGAGAGGGAATCCTTGACCAGAAGCCTCCTGCATGCCCCTACTGGGGATCGATCCCCCAACCCGGGCATGTGCCCTGATCGGGATTGAACCATTACCTCCTGGTTCTTAGGTTGACACTCAACCACTGAGCCACGCCGGCCAGGCAAGGCCTTTGACTACTTTAGCCCTCCAATTTCAGTATCCCCATACCATCAATTGCTTACATTCAGAAAAGGTGGAGAGCTAGCATTCATTCTCAGTGATTCACCTGACTAGACACAAAATTGAAGTCTTCTCCCCTCTCTACTGCTACCTTCTCCAAATGCAGTCAATTCTCTATCCAGCAATATCTATTGTACATAAGCTGTATTCAAACTTCTTGCTGTAAACTCCTGCCCCCAATCTATAATAAAGCATCTAATGGTGTTAAAGATGATTAAGACCTGGTATATATTCATTCCTCCAACCCAATTCTCTCAGCTCTACAGAAGCTACTTCCACATTTAACATGAATGGTAAAGGGAGCAAGTAATTAAAAAAGAAAAAAGAGGCATATAAAAATGGGAGAATAAAAAGGTCAAAAATGGAGTGCAAAGAATTTTTTAACCTTCCACAATTTCCACTCAAATTCTCTCTAGTATTTTACAAAACAAAAGGAAAAATAATTACTTACAACAGAAACAATGAAGCATACCTGTGAGTAGAATAATCCTTGGTATCAATGGTATTCCTTGGATTTATCTGCTGAGATACTGATGGGTCAGCTAGTATTTCTAATTGCTTATGGAGCATCATATTACTTTGACTAAGTTCATGAACCAATTTTTCAAGTTGACGATGTATGTCCCGATGCTTTCTCATTTCAATTTCATATGATAACTGCAGAAGTTCAAATGATGCTTTTTGCTTTATCAATTGATTTATAACAAACTCTTGTCTTGCTGTATAATAGTCTTGTTTGGCAATCTGCAGATCAAAATCTCCCTTCACAACTGGCATATTCAACAACTGGGCATTCTTTTTTACCACAGCAGGCAAACTTTTGTCTTTTATATGAGTAATCTGTTCTTCGAGTTTCAGAATCTGAGTATTCAAGCTAGAAATTTTAGCATCCAAATGATCTTTTCCAAGAACTTTGCTAGTGAAAGCAATTATATTTCAAACTGTATGTATAAAATTCAAACAGTGTTAAAATTATTTTCACTTTCCATTTTAGGTTAGCAGATAATATGCTCAATAATAAAAATTTCCTATTAGCAAAAGCCAAAATCACAGTTTAAAAAGAAAAAGTGTGGACCAAGTCAAGGGTAAAGCCAGTATGAATTGCTAAATTTTAATGCTATTACTACCATATATATATGTATGTATATGTATACACATACACACACACACACACACAGTAATGGTTAGCAAAGTAGATATCTTGTCATGCTTGTCTTAATCAATAAAAATTATTAGCACACTACTCACTAATTGCAAATGTATGCTATTTCAATTTTTCTCAAAATTAATCACTAGCTATTCTCCTAGTTTGTCAGCTGATTTTCACAGTTCTAAAGAATGACAGGACTTCATACATTATTCCAAAGTTTGTCGGTTGTGGTAACTAATTTGGTGCTGGTGTTGTTTCAGAAAGTTGTATATATTTTTTAATTTATTTTATTTTATAAAGAGGAAGGGAGGGGGAAGGAAGGTAGAGGAAGGGAGGGAGATGAGAGAGGGAGAGAGGACAGAGAGACATCAATTTGTTGTTTCACGTATCTATTCATTCATTGGTGGATTCTTGTGCATGCCCTGACCAGGGACCAAACCGGCAACCTTGGCTCATGGGGCAATGTTTCAACCAACTGAGCTACCCAGTCAGGGCTCAGAAAGTTGTATTTTCACTCAACTATCTAGTAGTTAAATTATCAATAAAGCAAGCTGTCCAAGACAGCAAATGACTATCTGCAATACAGCTATACATTCTCAACAAAGAATCAGGGTTTCCAGTCCATTGAACTGGATCTCTGACTTCATTAGCACTATATCCTGGTCAGAGCAAACAAGGCAGAATACCACAATACAGCAACAAGGTTCTTTACTCTTAAAAATAAGGTTCATTGCCCAGCCGGGTGTGGCTCAGCGGTTGAGCATCGACCCAGGAACCAAGAGGTCACCGGTTCGATTCCAGGTAAGGGCATATGCCCGGGATGCCGGCTCGATCCCCAGTGTGGGGTGTGCAGGAGGCAGCCAATCAATGATTCTCTCTCATCATTGATGTTTCTATCTCTCTCTCCCTCTCCCTTCCTCTCTGAAATCAATAAAAATATATATTTAAAAAAAATAATAAGGTTCATACATCATAAAAAAGGAAATTTCAGTGAGTGTATCTGAAATTAACGCAATTTCAAATTCAGAATACAGAAATACTTTTGTTTAAAATTAGTTAGATAATGTGGTTGGGGCTATAATTACTATTTCTGCCCTCCACTAATATGAGGATCTATTTGTATGAAACACTGACACACATCACAACTAAGCACTGAACAAAGAAAATGTAATGACTTCCTATATTCTCCTTCCTAAAACACTTTAATACCTATTATATCCATTACTAAAAATTACAATATTAATCCAGCCTCATTTCTCATACTTACTTTGCTAGTAAAGCTATGAAGATTCTCCTCTGCCCATTTTATACTTGATTTCATGCTCATATTACGTGCTTTCAAGTGAATTAACTGATGTTGAGCACACATGTATGCTAGCTGCAGCCTAGCCATCTCTAGCCGCCTCTCCTCAAGGATTTCTTGGTTATCATAAATAGATGGTGCTTGTATATCTAAAAGCTGAAAATTCTCTTCATTTGAACTTTCAAATACTTCTTGTATACCCTGAAAGAACTGTTTTTTGGTATATAAGGTTAAAGCTGCTGTGCATTGCTCTTCTTGGCTGAGATATTTTTCCAAGGAAATCTGAGATAAAAACACCAGAGGATTTGTCCCTGGACCCAAATCCGAAGGTCTGAAGAACACCATCAATTTTGCAACTCCATCTGTAAGAGCCTGAAGTTCATTCTTCATCTTAGTAGTCATAGCATTTAGAACTCCCTGACTCTGCTTCAGCTTTTTAGTGGCTTCTTCTTCTTTAGCATTTAACCTCAGAGATTTGTGCCTTGTTACCGAAGCCATCAACTGACATTTATTACGTCGCTGAATTTTTAGGTTCTTTAATTTCTGCAGCGTCCGAACCTCATCCTCTAATTTCTCTAGGTCTTTGTCATCCAGGGTAGGTATCTTCAGACTAGAAGTTTTACAGGTTTTAAGAGCTTCATCCAGTGCTGCTCCTTCCAGGATGGGCTTGCCTGATTTCTGAAGAACACTGAAAGCCTCCAATTCTGCTTCCGACAAGACGTTCTGTTCATTCACTGTCCCACAAAACCACTTCAGAAATGACCCACCTTCGACAGTCTCAAACAACCAGTCAAAGTCTTCCCCGTTAAGAACATCAGCTTTGGGATAATCAATTTTTTTTAATGTTTCCACAAAGTCTTTTCCACAACTCATGGTTTAACTCCCCCGATTTTTGTGTGACTGATACGGGTTTACGGTACTGACATTTAGACAATAAACCCAAATACAAACAGAGCTAGTTTTATGTGAAGTCCATAGAGAAGGGGGGGGGTATTTTTAGAATATATAATGATTTCTCCTCAGGAAGCTCAGTGAGCTAGTTTTATGTGAAGTCCATAGAGAAGGGGGGGGAGGGGATATTTTTAGAATATATAATGATTTCTCCTAGGGGGGAAAAAAACAAGTGTTAGACCACAAAGAAGGCGCCTTTAGAAGGACAATGTAGATAGATACCCAACAACACTGGTAACCTCTAACCCAGAGGCGGTTGTCTCAGAAACGTCTGAAGGGAAGGGGAAACCGCACACGCACAACTAGGGTGTGACTTAAGGCTGTAATGACCAAAGCCTCACGTTTTCCCAAAGATGAGTGGTCCAAACGCACTGTGTACAGAACAGCAGCTCCATTGGTAATTCAAGAGGAAGACCAGGCACCGTGCAGTTCAGCAGCCTCTCCCCCCGCCCTTCCCGAGGTCAACTGAAAACTCACCGCAACGACCCACTCGGTGCCCGCCATTCACTCGGGGGTCGCCCCAGGCAGGGTCACCGGGTGCCGGAGAACCGAAGCTTCGGGAACTGCCCGCACCCCGACAACCGGGAGACCTGGGCCGTGGTGACTGGACAGTGTCCCCCGGCCCCGCGTCACCGCGACATCACCTGCCCCACTTCACCGGTGGTGGGCCTGTCACTCACTGGTGGCGCGAAAACACACCGAACCCGCGCCACAGACCAGCTGCACTACCCCCAGGGG